GATCTCAGGGTTTAATTAGAGTCTAGAAATATCATCCACTTCCTTTCTTATGGGTTTTTGCATCTTTATGCAAAATGTGGATGGAAGCACTGTGATCTCATTAATGTCAGTCCTGCAGGAGGGACAGAGAGACTGGAGCATGTGTCGATGGAGCGTTAGGAGTGTTTCTGATGAGCTTCCAAGAGAATATCACTGCACTAGCTGCAGGCTGGCTTTGTCCACTGGCACTGTGAGTTCACTTGCAATTAATGGAAAGGAGGAGGCACTCTAGGTGCCTCCAAGAAAGCTGTCAATTTTCTGCAGGTCTTCAGAAGTGCCTCTCTTTCTGTCCTGTGCCAATAAGCAAAGCTGAGGAATTAGACTGCTCCTTTTGTCCCTTCTAGGGCTAAGACACCTAAAATTTCATTGAGGTAATAACATCTCAGTGAGGTATCTAAAGTAGATGGATGAGATTCCAGCCTGAATACTTGAGGCTTTGCAGTGAATGATTGCAAGAAGAAAACCCAAAGTGTCAATAGGAAGATGCAGACTATTGAAAACTGAGGAAAAGGAAGTATCGACTAAAATTAGGGTGGTATTATAAGACAATATTTGAAAAGAATCAAAGACTTACAGCCTTTTGTTAATATTTTCATTTCTCCTCTATGCCCCATAAGGCTTTAGAAAAAATAATTTAATATTATGTAAACAAATTTTCCTCATCCTTTCTGTGAAGCCGTACTCATGAACCACAAAGGGTTGAAAATAATTGTAACACCCTGAGAAAAAGTAGTGGGACCAATAAGACTAGAATGTCAACCCATCAGTTTTCCCCCACTTAGCCTAATTCTTTGGATAGCGTTGTCTGATAAAAGACAGAGGAGTATTTATTGCAGTAGTTTGAATACGCATCAATTGATTCTGTTATACTAGAAAACCTGAGAAAGCATGGTACATTTATATATAGATTGTGTAAATACACTGTAGGCAAGTTTCACAGTTTAATGTTGAAAGAGCTTTCATTAATGCTGTAGTCCTGAGAAAAGTATGTAAAGCAACTTAAAAGAGGCGAGATTTGATTTTTACTGAGATAAGTTGAAAGAATAATTCACGTTTACTAAATGTCAGTGTTTATTCTTTCATGTCTTTTTATGTGTTGCTCTTTTACTGCTCCATGCATGGTTGCAAAAAATATACATTAAGAATGAATCCCTCACTGATGTGACTTCATGATGTTTATTATTTATGTTTGCATAATTTCATGTGTTAATAAAAAAAATAATCACCAAAGATACATAAAATTAAATGCCTGGTTTTGTCCTGGAGCAACTACACACTGTGCTTTTACTTTATGTGTAGTTCTGACAGAAGACAGAAAGTCAGTTCTTCTCAGCAATGTGATCTGACACTGAAAAAGTATGTTGTTAATTGTATTTTTTTCTAGAAAGTATGGAGTGTTTTTTTTAAAGGGCAAGAGGAGATTACATTTCAAATGCACTTCCAGAACTTTGTATGGCTTCCCATCATTCTCAAAGACAAAAAGTTACGTAAAGATTTGAAGTTGAATATAAAGGTCAATGTCTCCTATTGTGTTTTTTTGTGTTTTTTGTTTGTTTGTTTGTTTGTTTTTTCTGGTTGGTTTTGGTTTGGTTTTGTATCAATATTGAGACTCATCTGCATTTATGAAAACCTGCCAGCTCTTGAATGAAAACCACGACGTTAGGACAAGGCGCTGTTATTTCCTGTAGCCGAAACCAGCCAACTACCAGAAGAACTGGTAGGTAGGATGCGCTCTTCTGTCCCGAGTACTCGGCGTTTTAAAAATAAGGCTGAGGATTGAAAACTGGTAACACCAAGTTATATCATTCGATACAACAGGTATCGCTGTAAAGAATGCATTCGTGAGGCTGGTATAAAATTCAGGCTTCTGGTGTAGGAAAGCTCTGTATATTGAGCTGTATTTGGAGAAATTGGTACCTGCAACTGAGACCACGAGAGCTTGAGGTCACAGGGGCCGTGCCCAGCCGCAGCGATGCCCGTGGGAGTCAGCAGCAGCCCCTCCTCTGTGCCAGAGAGAAGGGAAATGGAGGGACAACCCGATAAGCGCTTTCAGCCACGGGATGCTGAGGCAGCGCCGTGTGCCTCGACCCCCCTGGGCACTGCCTGCTTGTAGCTGCCACAGACCTGGCAGCGAGTCATTGCGCCCCTGCCCCTCCGGCCTCACCGGACGGGCTGTCACACCGCCCCTGCCTCCCCGTCAAGTCACACACGCCGGCCCTCGCCCCCTCCCCAGCTCCCCTGGCGTCCCGGCGGAGGCCGAGCCGCCGCCCCGTCGTTGCCGCCGCCGAGGCCGGTCCGCCCGCCGCCGCCCCTTCCCTTCCCCCGCCACCGCACATGCCCAGAAGGGCGGGAGCCGCGGCGAGCCCGGGCGCTGCTGTGACAGCGGCGGCGCTTTCCCTTCCGTGGGTGGGTGGGGGCCGCGCCGCCCCCTGGCCCGGCGGAGACACCGCGCTGGCCGCCCGCTGCTCGAGTGCCTTCCCCGCCGCGCCCCGAGCCCGCCGCCGCCGCGGGGCGGGAGGCGGCCATGTCGCTATTGTCTGCGCTGGTGCCCTTGCTCCGGGTGTACTGCATCGGCCTCCGCGTCATCCTGCACCAGCTGCGCCGCCGCTTTCACTCGCGCTGCCGCCCGGTCTCAGGTGAGCACCGCAGCCGGCGCCGCGGGGCGGGGCGGCTCTGGGCCGGGGCTGGCGGTCCCCGCCGCGGAGAGGGGAAAGTTTGTCGAGCCTCCCGCCGCGGGCAGCACCGGGGCGAGGCTGCGCGGCCCGGCCGAGGGCAGCCGTACTGGACAGGACAGGGTAGGGTAGGACAGGACAGGGTAGGACAGGACAGGACAGGACAGGGCAGGGCAGGGCAGCCGCGACCTTGGTCGCAGCGCGGGTCGGCCAGGCCGCGCCGCATCCGCCGCAGCGGGCCAGGGGCTAACGCGCCGCGGCGGCCCCAGCACGGGCGCCGCCGGGCTCCTCCCCCGCTCCCCTCCGCCGGCCGAGCAGGACCCGCTGGGCCGCCCCAGGGCAGCGGCCCGGGGGGCTGCGGCTGGTGGGGCGCCCTCCCCGCCCCCGCTGCGCCCCGCCTTCGCTGCCGGCGGCGGGCCCCGGTCCCACCGCCCCGTCCGGCCCCCGGGCCGCGGCCGCCCCGGACGCGGGGCGGGGCGGGGGCCGGGCGCCTGGCTGCACGCCGGCCTGACTGCGGCCTCGGGAGGCGGCGCGGGGGCTCTGCGCCCGAGGGTCCCCGCTTCTCCTCTTCCTCTCTTTGGCTTTCTGACGGTGTCGCCTCAGACCTCGACTCAGAGCCGCGCGGGCGCTCCCTCCCTCCCTCTCTCTGCCCAGGTAGGTGCTCGGAAGGCGGGTAGCGGCGGGCAGCTCCTGCCGCCGCCCACTGTGCCCCCACCCCGCCGGGCGGCTGGGACCGCCGGCCCCGGCTTCCCGTCCCAGCCGCTCCAGGAGGGGAATGAACCCGCGCTCCAAAAGCTTTGATACCGGCTGTCACTCGCTGACAGCCTTTAAGCTGACAAGTGAGTGACACTCGTAATTTTTAGTAAAGGACTCCAGGTTAGTCGTTTGTTTGAGAAGTTAGGTTTTTGCACTTTTCCGATTTGGATCAACAGCATGTTTAATGCTGACTAGAGCAAACTTTTGAGTTTGCTAGAAAAAACAACCGTCTCAATTTCCTTCTTCCTCTCATTACTCTTGCAGACTTTAAAATGCTTCTGAGTTTATAAACTTACAGCAAACTAGAAGTCCGGACGGATGCATAGGTTATCATCAGAGGCAAGCGTACAACTGCATGCAAGTCTATGCCTTTAACTTCCTCTGCTTAGCAGCCAGTAAGCCTTTGTGGCCCTGTCAATAGTTTTAACCAGAGGAACAGTAAAAAAAGTAGTATTGAAAGGGCCTGGTGTTTTAGTGAGGAGTTGAGGCAGATGAGGAAATTGGTATAGAGAGTATCTGAATTACTGAGGAGGAGATAGCACACCACAAAGTAAGAGTATATTTGTCCATTTCATCACATGTGGCATCCTTGGGTAGCGTTTTGTCTTCTTTTTGTTCATTCTTGATTCTTCTGCTGGGATTCCCTTTCTTATTCTCAGAAGACACCAATAAAACCCCCAAACAAACGAGAAGACCCTGGTGACAGAAAAGACAGATGCATGTACAGTTTGAAGTCATCTGAGCATTTTTCTAGTGTTAGTGTTTCTTGGCAGAGCAAAGCTGGGTATTGTGCCTAGGGTGTGTAACACTTTCCAAATCTTTTTTTGAACCGCAGAGAATCGACATGACGAAAATGTGACCCGAGTGTTTTGTTGCAGTCTGCTCTTAGCTACTATTAAAAAAAAGTGTTGAATTTGGAAATGCCGGAGGAAGACAGTGAAGATCCAACCTGGGAAACGTCATTTACCTGAGTAGGACCAGGGAAGATTTGACAGATGTGAAAAGCTTTCTTTGAGCCCTAACTCTGGGTGTCTTTTTCCAAGGACAAGTGGTTTCCTCCTCAGCTAGTTGTTCGCACGCAGTTCCCTCTTAGCAGTTACTTGCTGCCTTGCTCCAACTTGATGTGTCCAGCCATTGCTTAAAAAAGTGAATCAGCTTGTCAACTGGAACCTTTTTACCCAAATTAACCTTGTTTCTGTAATAGCTTCAAAGTAGTGGTGGCAGTGCAACAAAAAGGAGAAGTATTGTTAGAACAAGCTTGGATCAGTAAACTACAGTTGCTGTAAGAAAACGCCAAGTAACTTTTTCAGACTGTACTCTAGAAAGGTGTGTATGTTTAACATTTTCTATATATTTTCTACATCTATTCTTACAAGAACAGGCATTTTATTGTCAGGGTGCCTTACTGGGGTAGAGCCTGGAGCAGCAAAGCAGGGCTGGGAAGGGCAGGATGGGGCAGCAGAGCCAACCATGCCTCTGATCCCGGCTCCCTTGGCTACAGTTTCCTCAGTGGAGTTCTCACTCTTTGTACAGCAGTGGTGCAGCTCTCCTGTGGAAGGTTTAAAACAGATGGATGCCTGGTGGCTCATCCTTGAGCTCTGTGGGTGAGTAAAGGGATCTGGTGTCAGTGCAGCCCTTCTGCCTCTGAATTTTCCAAGAAAAGCTTGCTTTCTTACCTTTGCCGAGAAGTGCTCTTGGATTTTAATTCAAGTAAACAAAATTAGTTTCATTTTTCTTTTATTTTTTCTTGACCCTAACTTAAGAGTTGTATGCTCTTGGCACATGTGCTTTCACATGGCTTTTAAAAGTGACCATCTGTTCTGTCATATCTTACTGCAGTTTATCTGATTTTTAAAGATAGGATTCAAAACAGCTTTTTGGAGAGAGAGGACATTTTAAACTCTGAAATCTAGATTCAGTGCAAAAACTTGGTAATTGTTAGTTGCAAACCAAAAAGACAGTAATATTCACTATTCAGTTGACCTGAAATTCTGATCATGAAGGTCAGGGAAAGGAATACAGAGCTGGGACGATAATTGGGGTGCAGTCAGCGATTGTTTTCACTAACTAAAGTCAGTGTGCAGGAAAGTGCAGAAATTAAGGGCAACTTAGGTTAAACTTACTTTAAAACATTTTTGCAAGTAGTAAGTGCATAAATGGTATAACTGCCAATATGTAGTGTAAACTCTGTTAGTATTCAATGGTTTAAATGATTAATAGTTTCATTAGAAATTACTGCTTTGCCTTCTTTTACAGTGCTTAATCTTAATTAATTGGAGGGAAAAAAAAAGCCTTGCATGACTAAAGTTCTTGATATAAACAACTTTTTAAAAACACAAATCTAATCATTGGATTAATAAAAGATAAATTAATATCAATTGTGGCACCAGGATATTAATAGTGGAAATGTGATCACTGAAAGTCATGCTACTGATAACAAAAATCATTCATATAATAAAAATATTCCCTTTTCATATTTTAAAAGCTTCTCAAGGAGTTTATTTGGCATCTTTCTCCTGCATTCTCTCTTCTACTGTACATAATTCATTGAAATTTGGTAGGGAAAGCCTACATGCTAAATGTTTTATAGTAGTTTTGAAGTCTTTTTAGTTAAATTTTGTACCTGCAAAGTGTAGAAACCTGACTCTGAAGAAGATAGTAATACGGATGAAGTTCAGAAGACCTTAAACGTGACTCCTGTTCTTCATAAAAGTGATTGAAATTTCAGATGTATTTTTTATTTGTCCCAGTTTCTAGTTATTCAGTGTCATTTGAACCAGTTTCTTTACAGTTAATCGTGAAATATTGATTTGGGAACATGCATCTTTTAATTTTGATTCATGTATCGAAGGCTTTTACTTTAAATGAGTAAACCACAATGAGAGATCAAGCACTTCCTGATCAAAGCTGTGTGAGTTCAAGGTTGTAAATCCTCCAGAGGTGAGTAGAGAAGTGACCAGGTAGGACAGATTAATGGCAAGCAAAAATAAAGTTGCATCTACCAACTTAAACCCTCTCCCCCATGCACGCACCTGAGAGAGTTATTAAGCTAGTTTCAGAAGTGAAGAAACTATATGTTGTTTCTGTACTGACTGAGGCAAGGGTTGTGGACAGCGATACCTGTGGTGTAGGTAGACAAGGTGCCATCCCTGTGCATGCACAAGGGGGCAGACCTAAGGTTGCAGGGTGGCTGCACACCCCACGTTTCCTCACATCCCCATGCTTGGTTTCACAATCCAAGTGACTCTCGTATGGGTTTTGAACCCATTTTCTTCATGGAGGGAGAATGAGAGGGGTCTGAGAAGTGTGAGGAGGCAGCACAGTCTGCCCCAGGGACAACAGGGATGAGGTGCTAGGGCTAGGAAATCTGGACTCTTCCCTCTTTTCCTCCTGTGGCAGATGAATGTGCTGCAAAGCCAACAGAGGATCCTCTCTGCAGGCTCTTAGAAACCTCAGTCCCAGTACTGGCTGGTGGTGTTAGCCAGCTGCATGGAGAAAGTGAGGGAAACAGCAGCTCTCCGAAGGTGTGCTCTGTTTCATGTGGGTGGGAATAAAGGGAGAAAGGAAGAGGCAGGTTTGTAGCCTGGAGGCTTCTGCGTGCACAAGGTTTTTCAGCAAACCATAGTGGGACTATATTGTTTTACCATGGAAAAGTTCAGCAAGCTAAAAGAGAGCATTTCCATCAGCTGTCCTTGTAATAAGCTGAGGCACTTCCCAAAGGCAGCAAGATGCTTCATTCCCAGTGGATTTTATTCAACCAGTTACTGGTGTCTTCAGCTTGCCTCAGAGCTGAAGCTGCTGCTGTTCTTGCCAAGACAAGGCTGGGAACACTTTCACTGAAAAAGGAAAGGTTTACCTCTTTTAGAAAGATGAGAGGTGCGGTGTTTTTGGTTTGTGTTCATAATGCCAGTTTTACTGTGTAACACTCTAGGAGAGGCAGGGATGATTAGCAGTTTATATTTGAGCTATTATGACAGCTGAAGTGTGGCTTACAGCATTATAATAAAGGCTGTGTTATGCTGGCATATCCTTATCTGTGGCAGTTCTCCTCTGTGCCACTGTCACCAAGTGCCAGGTACCTCTTAAAACAATTGCAAAGCTGTAACATACATAAGAATAAAGGGGAGGGTGAGTCTGTAACACTCCCATACTCTAAAATAACTTCTACTTTATCAGTCTGTGATGAACTTTTTATGATCCAAGGTGTGTCATACTAAGTTTAGATATTAAAGACACATCAACTTTTTTATTACGGTGCCTTCCTCCTTGCTTTCAGGAATTGCCAGATAACTGCAGAGGAAACTGTAAGGTTTAGTGAAATGCCATGAGCCTCTATGTTTCTTTGAGACACCCTGTCATGGGTTGAAATAGAGGGATCTAAAAGCAATAACAATATATATTGATATGTCTTGTCAATGCACAGTCTGATGCTGTGGCAGGGTTACATCATTACACATTGCACCACTTTGTCTTTCAAAATCATCACTTTTTGTGGGATTGCATACCTTGGTGCTGTTGATACGTCTTTGGAATTAGGCAGCATTACCATGTTGAATCAATAGTTTATCCTGGCAACTTAAAGACACTGAATGAATCACAGTAGAAGGCACGCTAGTAGGCAGAACATTGCCCCTCCCTCAAAATGTCTACACCCAGAAGTAAATCTTCAGAACAAATCCAATAAAATGCTTGCCCTGCATCTCTCATTCTGCTTCTAAACCAACAGCTTTGTTTAGGTAAATATGTTTAGTCTTGGTTAACCTGTCTTTGGTTTTTCATTCAAGACATTCAGAAAATGTTTCTAAATACCAGCTGTAGTTCAGAGAGGAAAGTATCTTTTCTAGAGAATGTTCATCAACAGAGAAGCTTGCACAAATACATTTATTTTTATTCATATTCTCTTGCAGCAACATGAAAAAGTCAGATTGTTTCTTCCTGCCCCAACCAGGCAGTCTTACCAGCTGAGGATTTCTGGGCTTGGGTGCAAGTACGGCTCCTGAGGAGCAGAGAAGGAGCAATGCCATTGCTTTCAGGCCAGTGCTCCTGATGTTCCTCTCCTGTTCTCTTCCCCTGGAATTTTGTGGAGGAGGTTGTATCCATGTTTAGCTGATAGCTTCCTTCTCCTTCCCAGTCCTGGCCAAGGCCCTGGCAAAGATCTTGTTGCTGTCACGGTGGTGTGGAAGAAATAGAGAAGCATCAGGGTACAGTCATGCTGTGCTGTGACTTGGCTTTTTGATGTAGTGAAACCAGCTCCAGCTGCTGGCCCTGTGCACAGAGACACTGTAGGCCTCATGTACTTGCATGTGACTGTTTGCACAAGAAGCATTTTCCTGTGCAGATATTGAGGTACAGATTGCCAAGTCTTGCCCTATCGCTACACGCATCTCTAGAGTGTCACCCCCTCCTGACTTCTCTAGCCTTTTGAAGAAAATACAGTAAAATTATTTTCCAGCTGATGTGGATAAAAACATTTATTAGTGCTTCCCTGTCTGCTTTTCCTGTAATTATAATGCTCTGTTATTCCAGGGACAGGAAAAGTGTCAGGTATATATTGTTGATCTGCATGTAGGTTCAAGCTCCTTTTCCTTTTATTTCAGTCAGAAAACATTTTTACATTTCAGAGAAGCAGATTAATGTTATAATTTGCATCACAGATTTTATTTTTTTTAAGCAAAAGCTGGAACAAGCAAAACTTCTTTCAAAATAAACAAGAAAACTTTTGCTCCTTCAGTATCAAGTTTCAATTGAACTAAATGTTAACAGCAAAGTTCAGTAATTTTTAGGCAAGAGGATGTTGGTCTAACCCTAACTAAAGAGGCAGGAAAATGCTATAGCAGATGACCAGTTTGTGTGACAGTAATGTATCAACTCTGTGGTGGTGGTTACACTTTCTCTACCCAGAATTATATAATTCCAGAAACAAGATTTATGCAGATCTTCTAGCTCAGTTTCACAGAAAACTTTTTAATTTTTGACATTCTGTTGGGCTTCTTGTAGGTCACACTTCCTGCAAATCTCATCTTGAAATTTGCAAATGTAATTTGTAAGGTAGGTTTCTTGATACATTCACAGAAACGCTGATTTCACATAGTTGAGTGTGGTCAAACTTGTGCTTTCTCATTGTATCTTTATCTTGCTGCCTTTATCAGGTACTCATTAATGAGTGAAGGATCAAAAGGTGGGACGGTGGCCAAGAAGCAATGGAGAATAAAAGTTTAGAAGGTTCCCCATCAGACCTAAAGTTAGTGGCTCACCCAAGAGCAAAGAGTAAAGTGTGGAAGTACTTTGGGTTTGATACCAATGCAGAAGGATGCATATTACAGTGGAAGAAGATCTACTGCCGTATTTGCATGGCACAAATTGCCTATTCAGGAAACACGTCCAACCTTTCCTACCACCTTGAGAAAAATCACCCTGATGAATTCTGTGAATTTGTGAAAAGTAACACTGAGCAAATGAGGGAAGCCTTTGCCACAGCATTTTCAAAGATCAAGCCAGAGTCGTCGCAGCAGGTTGTTCAAGATAGCCTCATCATGAAGACCTACCAGAACTACGAAAACAAAAAACATCAGGAACTGACATCTGCAGTCATCAGCTTAATTTGCGAGGGCATGTATCCGGCCTCCATTGTTGATGAACCCACCTTCAAGGCCCTCTTGAGAACAGCAGACCCCAGGTATGAACTTCCGAGCCGGAAGTACTTCTGTACAAAAGCTATTCCCGAAAAGTACAGTGCTATTAGAGAAATTGTGCTGAAAGAACTGACGGAGGTTCTGTGGTGTGGCATATCCACAGACATGTGGAGGAGCGAAAACCAGAACAGGTCGTACGTAACGGTTGCGGTTCACTTTCTCATCAGCAGTGCTGCCAACTGCCTGGCTGTGAACTCGCGGTGTTTAAAAACGTTTGAAGTGCCAGAGGATAATACCGCAGAGACTATTACACGAGTCCTTTATGAAACGTTCATTGAGTGGGGGATCAATACAAAAGTCTTTGGTGCTACAACAGATTACAGTAAAGACATTGTGAAAGCTTGCTCTCTCCTAGATATTCCCGTACAGATGCCTTGTTTGGGGCACACTTTTAACACAGGAATACAACAAGCTTTTCAGCTCCCCAAACTTTGCAACCTTCTTGCCAGGTGCCGAAAACTGGTGGAGTATTTTCAGCAGTCCACGGTCGCAATGTACATGCTAAGCGAGAAGCAGAAGCAGCAGAATATTCTCCACTGCATGCTGGTAAGCGACCGTGTTTCCTGGTGGGGAAGCACTCTCGCTATGCTGCAGCGCCTCAAGGAGCAGCAGTTTGTCATTGCGGCTGTTCTCGTGGAGGACAGCAACAACCACCACCTCATGCTGGAATCCAGTGAGTGGAATACAATCGAAGGGCTGGTGGAGCTGCTGCAGCCTTTTAAGCAGGTTGCGGAGATGATGTCTGCTTCAAAGTACCCCACAATAAGTATGGTGAAGCCACTTCTCCACATGCTTCTGAATACTACCCTGAACATCAAAGAGAATGATTTGAAAGAAATCAGCATGGCAAAGGAGGTGATTGCTAAAGAGTTGTCAACCACCTACCAGCACACACCTGAGATAGACATGTTTCTCAATGTTGCAACTTTCTTGGATCCCCGCTACAAAAAACTGCCTTTTCTTTCAGCCTTTGAGAGGCAGCAGGTGGAAAACAGAGTGGTGGAAGAAGCAAAAAGCCTGCTGGAGAAAGTAAAAGAAAATAGCTTTAGGACTGAAGAGAAATTCTTCACTGTTACAGAAGAACCTCCTATGAAAAAAATCATCATCTCTTCCACTCCTCCTCCTACTAGTGTCATCAACAACATGCTTGCAGAGATCTTCTGCCAGACAGGAGGCGTTGAAGACCAGGAGGAGTGGCACGCTCAAATCGTTGAGGAGTTGAGCAACTTCAAGTCACAAAAGGTCCTCGGTCTGAATGAAGACCCACTGAAGTGGTGGTCTGACAGACTAGCACTGTTTCCAGTTTTACCAAAGGTTCTTCAAAAATACTGGTGTATTCTGGCCACAAGGGTCTTCCCTGAACGCCTTTTTGGTTCTTCTGCTAATGTTGTGAGTGCAAAGAGAAACCGGTTAGCCCCGGCTCATGTGGATGAGCAGATCTTTTTGTACGAAAACAGTCGGAATGGGTCCGAGGCAGAACCAGAGGATGAAGATGAAGGAGAGTGGGGTTTGGAACAGGAACAGATTTTTAATTTAAATGACTCGGTAAACATAAACAACAATTTCTTTAATATTCGAGACAGTGGGTTTGTTTAACAGGACTGCAGCGGTACATTTAATAACAAAGAAAAAAGTATTTGTCTTAAGTTACCAAAAATACTTCTGTTTTATGCTATGATGCTGTAAATATTGAACAGTTGTAACAAACTTGATTTAGCTTCCATTGTCTGTGTTTTTCCTGCTGTCTTAAAACATGAATGACTTGTGATTAAACAGCACTGAAATGAGTGAGGAAATAAATTCTGCAAAGACCATGATTTCTGACTGTGGCCCAGATTTCAGAAAGCACTTACCCATGTGCTTCCTTTCCACTTGCTTCAGTGGGAGACAAACACATGCTTATTTGCTTTCTATCATAAAAATATTTTCCTGAATTAGGTCCCTGAGCAAGGGAGTTTTTAAGATTTATGCCTCCATTTGTAAATCCTGTGTAACTCAGGATGCTAGCTTTAAAAGTTTGGATTTTAAACATTTTTAAAATCTATAAATCTGAGCAGTGAATATTTTTAGAGTATATCGATGCTATGGAATGAAAAAAGATCTTGAGCCTGATTTTTCACTACCTCATGTCTTAGGCCTGGTCTATGCTACAAAAGTTCAGCTGGTATAATTCTGTTGATTAGGGGTCTGATCTATTATTATTTTAACTGATACTGTGCTGGCATAGGCTGTAGTGTAGATGCATTTATACTGGGATAATTTATTTTCCTTTCCAGTGTGGTGTAAATGTTATAAACACTTCTAAACTGGTATTGATATGTCCACATTAGTTCAGTTTTACCATTTAACAACAGCAGCTAAATGGCAAAACTGTGGGGATTTTGGTTGTTTTGTTTTGTGTCTAAGCAAGCCCTGATTGTAGTCTCTTTTGCTTTTACAAAGTGGTAACAAAGTGTGGGGTTGAGGCAGCTTTGTGTTACCTGCGCCTCCTGCAGATGCTGTGGCTGATCCACGTGGTGCGAAGCAGGCAAGGATCAGGCAACAGAGGGAGGGAAGAAGGGAAGGAGAGGCCAGGGAGACATCTACAGACCATGGGTCTAACAGTTTGTCTATGTTACAAAATCGTTAACCTCTTAATTTAATGGGAACTTTGCCCAGGGTAGCTAGAAAATTTTGTTGGCGAGAAAAGCAAAATAAAAAGCTTTAATATTATGTAAAAATATTTAAAAGAAGGGGACCCCTCTGTTTCCTCACATGTATTTAGTGAGTCCTTAAAATAGTTTCTTACTCTGTTAGCACTTAAAAACTTTTTTTCTCCTGTCTCTTTTTGATTCAGTTTGTAGAGTGGACTTTAGTCCCATCCAGTCTAATGTTTGAGTGCTGTTTCTGATTAGCTGTGTATTGTAATTGCTCCCTTTGTGTCTCTAAGCATCAGTGTTTTAAGACCTTTTGGGAACTTGGCAAACAAGAAAAAAGAAAGGAAACCAACCTGAAACCCCACATCTCTTATGAAATACTGCAGGTCATAAACAAAATTAGAGTTTATGCTAGATACAGAGTAGTCTTTTTTTCTCTGAGGTGCAGTGGAGGACTTCTGGCGTTTTCCACTTACAGTCAAGGTTTGCTTGGGGTTTTATTTCTGTTACTGGTGTCTCACCTTTCCTCACCTCAGTCTACAACTATGTTGAGCACAATCTTTCTGGAGAGAGGTCTGTTGAAGACTGACTGTTACTGTTCTGGAGGAAGAAAGTTAAGTATTTTTTAATCATGGTGGCACCCATGGACCTTTGGTTGTAAAAAGGGCACAAGCAGCAGGAACGTACAAAAACGAGAATAGCAGTGGAATTGAATATATTGCCAAACTATTTATGTTTAGGTTTAATAGTTCTTGGAAGCTTGAGGCCTCTGTGTTCTTTTTAGGTGCTGGGAATGGGCAGGTGGGTGGGGAGGAAGAGCAGAGGTTAGAGTGAAGGAACAGTGAAGTAAGTAATAGCAAACTACACAGCATGTTTAAGCCCGGGAAAAGTGCATTTAGCAGGTGGTGTGGCTGAAAACTGATTTGCACTTGTACAAAGTACCCGCACTGTGCATCCTGTTGAATATTGCTACTCTCCACGTCCACTGAAGAAAGAGGTGTATGTGATTGCCCAAGGTGCAAAACGCAGCTTGGCTTAAACTCCCACAGGTATGTAGGCCTATCTGTGAGGGCAGCAAAATCAAATTACAGAAGGGAGCGAGATACCTGCACCCTAGCAGCCTGCCAGGAAGACCTCTTGGTTTTTATGTCCGTTGAGAACCAGCTGCTCTTGCTTGCTCCACCTCCACTGCTACCACCACTGCTAGCCCTCAAGTTGCTGCGCAAATGCTAGTGCGAGGTGTGTGGATCCTTCCTTACGTGAGCATAATGCAAAGCCATGCCCTCACAGCCAAGGCAGAGCGCAGAACCACTCCCCTGGTCCGCACTTGGCCTACCCCTCTTGGCAGCATCGTTTCCATCTTCGTCCTCCTAGGGCTAAAAGTATACGGTGACGCTTACGAGCAGTTGTACTGAGATCAGTGCAATGCACTACTCTCTTCCTTCCAGCTTCTTTTTATTTTTTGGTATCCAAAATAAAATTGTAGTCAGTTCAATTGATGTGTCTCAGCATTCTTTTAAAAAAAGGAGAAGAAAAAGAAAAAAAAAAAAAGAGCAAAACCATTGTTAGTCCTACCCATTGTCTGTGAGATTTTTATTTAATGTTCTAAGCCTGGAATATTGTTAAATAAATGAGAAAAATAAGTTAGTTACTAGATTATTTGTCTGATGTGTGTTCATATCTGCAGCACTTTATGACTTTGAACTCTACTGCTACAGGGGAAAGTTATATTCTAAGGATTTGAAGCTATGCATTTATTTTCTTTTTGATCTTGTAAGTTATTTTTTAAAAATGCTGTACAAATCTTTTGGATTAAAAAAAAATGAGGATGAAAAATGTTGGAAGTTTAGATGGTTTCTCTCGCTTAAATATGTGTGGTGTTTTTCATTTATCAACATAATTTTCTGTTGTTTATTTGGGTGGAGAACCAAAATTGAAATATTGCTACAACTTGAGTTAAACCCCGGTGTTACTGCCAAGGGTGGGCCCAGAACACATTTCCAAACTATGCTATTAAGTCAGCTTTATGTTTGTGTTTCTTGACATCTACTTTAAATCCACAGCCTAATGTTTCCTTTTTGGTACAGCAGAGACATCTTTTTGGAGGGGCAATAGAGGAACAAACTTCAGCTTTTGAGTGCTTTCATGCTGCAAAAGTGAATTTTTGAACGGGCTCTCAAAGTACGTACTTTACGTCAAAAGAAGATGAATTGCCTTTTGTCACCAACTAAGTATTGCAAATTCAGGATTAAAATTCATTGGGCCTAAGTGAGGTTTCTTGGGGTAGCAGCATAAGTAAAGGGAGTTTTGTCTGTCTGGTCAATCTTTGCACACATTTCACCTCTCTCTGCCATCAAGGACTATGGGAAGAAAAAAAGAAAAGCCTGAATTAAACAAGTTGAAAAGGTGAATTTTTCCAGCAAACTGTGTCTGAGATGCTTTGGTTTAAATGAAGGCAATAAAGTTCTGCATTATTTATGGAAAGGGTGTATTATTTTAAGTTTCTATTGCAGCAGTGTGTTAGATAATTTTGAAGGTTTTTCTTTAATCGATGTCCTGGTGTCCAATTAGCTTTACAGGAGCATTTTTCACACAGGCAGGAATATTAAAAGCAAAAGAAGCACAAATTGGTTATTTGTAATATTTTATAGGCCTTTTTTTTCTGAAAACTTAAAAGTGACATGCAGTTCTTGATTTTGTCGGTTTTGTGTGACAATTTAAAAAAAAGGGCTGCCTGGGGACATCTTTTCTGAAAGAAGGGAAGTGTATGGGTACAAGCACAGAAGTAGTGTGTTTTACATATTCTGTGACAACTGGGTAAAGGAAACTTTGTGCTGGAAAAATTGCATTTTAGTCTTTGCACACCCTTCTCCTTTCAATGATCTCCATTTCTGAGTGTTCTTCTCAGAGGATGATGTCTTTCTGAAGGTCTGGTGATCCCAGTTCTGGTGGTGCAGTGCTATCTAGTCTAGCCTGTCTTTTTGACTCTGCCGAGAGGAGTCTCCTGGTCACAAAAGTTTTGTGGCTTTTTTTTTTTCTTTTTTTCTAGGACAAGACTATGGTCTGTCTTATTGCATCTTCTCTAAATTAATATTCTGCTAAATTCAAGACATTTTTTATTTTTAGTTGGTGCAGGGAAATTACCGAAATTGGTTTTGGTTTTTTAGTAATATTATTTGGTGCACTAGAGAAAACTTAAAGATACAACATAATTTTATATCTACCTGAAAAGCACGCCAGTGAAGCATGTCTGATGACTTGATACTGTTTAAACTAGAATTTCAAAACATCCCTGCAGTTGCTGTTTATAGTGCTGTCATTTTACATACAAAAACATTTCCTTTAAATTGAATGATAAAAATCAATTAAATAGATTTTTACTGCTTTTGCAGTCATTTTCAGTGCCCTTGCAGTTGGGTTAAAATATCACAAGAGAATTAACTTCAGTATTAAAAAAACCTGGAAAAAATCAAAAATAAACTACTGTCTTTTGGTTTACCTTGTGTTTTAAAAACTAGTAATAAAATTTGATTTATATCTTTTTAAAAATTCAGAGGCTGTTGGAGCAACTATTTCCAAATGACAGTCCCTTAGAACTCTGAAATGTTAAAATATTAAGATATTTGAGCATTTATATTGACATTTTCACACTGAGTGGTGTTATAGATTTCCCTTGCTGCCAAAAGAAAAGGTTAGTGTTCACAGAAGTGGTGCTGACATTCGCAGTGCTTTGAAATGCTGATCAGATGTATGATTTTTTCAGAGATGTTGAGAAGACTATTACCTGCTGCACACTGTGCTGGTTTCCTTGCATCACACTTATTTCCAGTAACTTGAGTTTTCCAAATCCTCTGTCCTGTCTCCTCTCCCTGGCCCTGTGTGGGCAGAGTGCTGGGTGGGAACAGCAGGGAGGAGAAGCCCAGCTCCCCAGTGTTTCTTCTCTTACAGAGAGACTGTTCTTTGAGAGCGGATAAACTCAGTTTAAAATTAGTTTTAAACTAGGTTCTTATTCCAGTCTACTGAGGCTACAGCACTTGTGCCATGGTGTGAAAAGGCAGAGCCAGTGATTCCTCTCTCCACAGTGATGTACACTTGGACACACTGCTCAGTTGGACTAAAATTGCCTATAAGGGGGAAAACGCTGGGGCATTGAGCTCAGCACAGCGAGGAAGCTATCCTCAGAGTCAAAAGCATAATGACCAATAGCATAGAATAAGCAGTAGTAGAATAAGGTTATTTTTAAAAAGGCGATTTCTTTCATTACATACAATTTTATGTCTATTCATTGTCCCCAAATACTTGCAGCTAGGAATGAGAAATTTGTCTTTTATTTCTCCAATGGATACTGCCTTGCTTTTAAATTTGAGACATCTTATGTCTCAGTTTATCACTGTCTTTATGGACACTGCTATTGAAAAGGTTTCATTCTCCCTTTTTTTCTTTTTGCTTTTTTTGTGTGCTTTTTTTTTCATGAGTCATCAGTGAGGTTTACAGTGATAGGAATTTGCAATCATAACAAGGAAGACGTCAAGTCAGCATCAGGAAAGCTCATGCCAGAAACGTCCCATCCCATGTCATAAGTGCTGTTCTCCAAGGGAAACCTTCATCTTTTCAAACATAACCTTGTGATGTGTGTGTGAATCTTCATCTTCTCAAACATGGCTTTCTGATGTGTGTGTGAGAGAGAAAAATAAAGTGGTCTTGCAAACAATGCATAGTTCTGATTTATGGGTGGTAGTGCCGTTTGCTGTGAGTTTGTGCTCTGGGATGCACTCAGTGCTTTGACACCAAATTGTAGTTTCTTGAGCACACAGCAGAACTTATATGAACAGATGGAATTTAACAACAGTTAGATATGAAAAATGCAATTGTTTTATTGATGGGAACAGTTAAGAAGTGGGTCCATCTAGGGAAAATACTGAAATTTTACCAGGACCCTCCAATTCCTGTCTGAAACGCTGATAGCACTTAAAAATACTAGATTACTAACCTTCCTGTAATCTGACATTTTAGAACTCTGTAAAACACCTTTTGGTGTTTCCATGCTGCTGTCAATGAGCTCTGTTATCTTCAAAACCCTGCGCTCCCAAATGGCCAGTGAGGAGTTTACAGCAACAAAACGTTGGAGAAGAAGGGAGATGCAGCTGTTACTGTGTCCTGTCCTCTAGCATGTGTGAGCCTGGGTTTAGAGGGCTTTTTCTGAATGATACTTTGACACATTCATCTGCCATAGATAAACATGCACATGCAATTGCCACTGATCATAAATCTGGTAGGTTCCAAGGGAGCGAGTGCTATGGTGAGAAAGCCAGTCTTACGGATGAGTGGAGCCTGCCATATGCAGCATGTATCTCTTCTAGTCTCTAATTCTAGGCCCCACTTTATTTCCTAGGCAGGGAGTACGTACATTGGTGCTGGTCTTTGCTGTGTTATTTCTGTGTGGCTCTTGGATTCAAAGTGTAAGAACAGGAGAATGTGACCTGTGTGCTTTGAAGCCATGGTGAAAGTAGGCAGAGGTATACTTGTGCTGTACATGATTTGCTGAGTGGTTTGCATGAGCAGTGGATTGAGGATGATCTGAAGTTTACCCCGTGATGGTGTGAATACAGGACTGGCATTGCTGCTACGAGATTTCTGCATGCCTGGTCAGAGAAATTGAGAAAAGCACAGCCTTGTGCATTGGTGTCTCTGAAAGTATGATGCAATGCCCAGGTGAACTTAAAGCACTCCCGTGAACTAGTTCTGCTGTAGTCTTTCAAGCAGATTAACCACCTTGTTCATGCCCTGCCCATGCCACCCCACCTCCCCTTCATCAGTGTTCACAAAGATTTCACAATTCTTTTTGGAGATATAAATTCAGAGATAATATATGGCAGTATTTGTCAGTTGTTAAGACCATGGCATATGCTTTTTGTGCCTTTTTTGGCAATGCATATTAGAGCTGATGGAAGATAAAATTCTTCTTTTACCCAGAGACAGCTCTTCCTGCAGCGAGGCGATCAGCTCAGTCTGCAGAGTTGGTCTCTTGGCTGCACTTCTGGCCTTTCTCTAGGCTGTTTAGGAAAGTTGCTGTGCTCTGCAGAGAGAAAAACAGATTCCTCCAGAGTGTTTTCCCTGTGTTTTTGTGTTGCTGGGGCTGCTTTCTGATCTGCACATGCCTGAAGGAAGGGGATGGGCCAGGGCTTTTCCCCTGATGTTACTACTTCCCTGGGCTGGTTGGCCGCCCTGAGAAGAAGACTGCGCAGAAGGTGACACTGCCGAGTGATAAGTTCGCAAACACTTAGACTACAAAATTATTCATTAATTTTATATTTATTTTTAGGCTAAGATTAAAACGATACAAAACATGGCCTAAAAAGGAGCCCGCAGACTCTCTGCACTAACTCCTTAAGTTAGCTGTCCAAATATATATTTAGGGACTTAATCTCTAAAAGCGATCCATTTTGCGTGGATCTGCCTTCAGAATCACTAGAAATGCTGGCATCACAAGTGTGTCTCTTTAAATATCTTTAAATAGTGGTATTTTGAGGTGGGCTGCGTATGTGATGCTTTTTAAAATGCAAACCACAACTTTTTGGTTTCCATATATCCATTTTGTCTTCTGTTTTGCTTCAAAGGTTAGTATCCGTAGAATCATTCTGTCTAAAATGAGTTATTTTAAGACTTGACCTCCCAAATATAGATGGGCTTCAAAAGTAAGAGGAGTATTTCCCCCCACAACTCATAAGCTGAAAGTCTAAATTATTCTGTTGTTGAAGGAGGCAGTTGCAACTGCATTCTACCAAAACATGGGAGAATGTGAAGTGTAAATAAAAACATTTTTAGGTGAAATTCTGAGTAAAAGGCTTAAATGTAAGCATCTCATTTTCTGCCATTATCTGCATCGTAGCAAGATGGAAATGGACCTGTGATATTCCAGTGAGTGTACAGGTGAAGGAAAAACCTTCTTTTATTTAGTCATTATTCTGCTTGTGAGGATGTTTCAGTTTAGATGATTTAGTCACAACAAGCATAAAGTCAACAGTTTCAGCAGATGTGAATGAGCATTTCTATTGCTTGATCCTTTCTTCTTTGATAAACAGGAACTTGTTCTTCCTTGTTAATGGAGAACAAAGGAAAGAAGGCAAGGGGGTGTCGAGTATTATAGGTGGAAGGTTGGGTGTTTGCTTTGTGCTCATATAGCTGAAGCATTGATGAATTTCAGAGCCAGATGATGGAGTGTGTTTGTGCAAGTAGGGCATTTAGGTCTAAAGATGGGTAGATGATATCTTTGCAAAGGATACGTGGTGTTTGCTTTCAAGTTCAGCACTATGCCAGTAAGTGTGATACTTAACCCCGAGCATTAGCTGGTTGTGCAAATAGGAGCTTCTGCAGTCACTCAGTGTCTTGTGGTTTTGGGGCTGTTTGGAGTAAGATCTGCTTGTTTAGGTCATAGAGCAAACTCTGTTAGCATTAACATCTCATGCTAATGATGAGATGCT